TTTGATTAAATTAAGCCCTGTACAGTTTACCAGTGGCGTATATAGGGGAGTTCCTCGTGAGCTACAGCTCCTCCCCCCAAAACTGTTTTGAAAAACTTAAAAATTATTTTAAATGTTTGTTATATTTTAATGGTGCTCTATGTTTATTTAGAAATAATTTATAAAAAAAAGTAAAAAAACGATTTTAACCTGGTTGAATTTAATTAATTTAATTGTACCTACTTCAATAGTTCAGTAAAATGTTTTAAGGTTCTCAATTTATGGTTCAATGCTTATTATTAAGAGTTAATTATATAATAAATAAATAAATTATAATTGTATAATAAGAGAATATTTTATTCATAGCATATTTTATAATAGAAATAGTCCAGTAGACATATATATATATATTAAATAGTCAAGTACCACATCATATATCCTTTGTTCATAAAAACAGGATTATACTAACTATAGGAAATACGTAAATAATGTGATCAGTTGAGACAATTTTTATTGCCTTTGTCAAATAGTTTTGGGAAATTCTGTAAATTAAATGTAGATAAGTACCTACTGTGTCTTGTTAGTAATTCTTAGTTAGCAGTGGCAATTTAACCCTGTCCATAGTAATCCCTCCCGAAAATAAAATATTTTCTGTATATGCCACTGCAGTTTACCTATAATTTCGTTGAAAGTAGTACAATGAAACATTCGATTTTGGAAAAAATATCTAAAGATGTAAGAACTAAGTTACTTACTTTAAAGTCGTGTTCTATTACTCGCTGGGGTTGTCAAACAGAAGCAGTCAAATTAGTACTGAATAACTATGAATTTTTGTTTTTAGCCATAGAGAAAATCTGAAATGTGTACAAAAGGCATGGGATTAAAATACCAATAAAAAAATTTTAAATATATTTATTGGATTGTATTTATTGAATTCCAAATTACATTTAATATTAAAAACAAGTTCTTTATTACAACCATCAAACATGGATCTTATATTAGCAAATAAATAGTGTACAGTCTTTAATACAAAATTTAGTAACTATGAGCAGGACCGTATTGAGGTCTAGTGGCGTCCCTGGCGAATCTCTGTATCTCTGTATCCCACTCCCCCCATGGGAAATTAGCATTTTTTTACAAAAAATCATTTGAGATACATAATATACATAATAAAGCATGTATAAAAACATGGTGTACAAGAAAATAATGACTAATAAACTTTAATAACTATTTGTAGTACTTTAAAATATAAACGAACATGTGATTTTCTTCAAATGTTTTTGTTTTACAATTGTGTTAGATGGTTTTCAGTTTATTTAGTACAAAACTACAATGGTACTTTTCTTGCTTTTATAGAGGCAAATTTATCAAACGAAATTATTTTAACTACATCTTTTTCATATTTCGTGAAAAATATTACATAAGTAGTGATTAAATTTGCGCTCCTCTTAGAACTGCGCCCCTGGCTCATGACCTGCATTGATTATGGTCCTGACTATGAGGAATAGTGACGAATACTTTAAAAATATTTATCGACATTCAATAGAACTAAATAATAGGAATGGTGTAAAAGTATCGGAAGTAGTTAATAGAAAAGTGTCAACTCGTTTAAACAAAATGTCAAATTCTTTTTTTTTTTAACTAAATATGATTAAATTAAAATAAGTGTATACAAACACTTGTTTGATGAATCAATTTATGGTCTCAACTCAAGATTTAATCAGTAACTGTACAATTAGTTCAAGCTGTAGTAAGATTCATCTAGACTCTACACCTAAAATTTTATTGAAATTTGCAAATGTCCCTGTAGAGATATTACAATCTGAGATAAAGCTATTCAAATATTTACCCACTACCGATGGTAAATCAGATATAAATACTAATAATGAATCAGTATACTCATTACTAGGGAACGGATTTATATGTAAATGCATATTTTTATTAAAACGAGATATTTAAGATTCGATAAGAAATGTTTATGATTTAAACCATTCCTATTAAAATGATGATACTTTTATTTTACATATTTTTACATATTTTGGTATAATTACATATTTTTACATATTTTGGTATAATTACATATTTTTACATATTTTACTAATTTTTAAATATTTTTAAACATATTTTTATCATTTCATCATTCATACGTCTTCTTTGAACGAAAATACAAAAAATTATTTCAAAATTAGATCCAGAAACTTCTATCGCTATTGGAAAAGCTCAAAATATTATGCTAAATGAAACATTGAAAATTATTTAATTTTAATTAAAAATAATTTAACAAAATTATTAATAAAAAATATGTCCCCAAAAGATAGTATGCAAATTGTTGAATCAGCGATTAAAACTCGTAAACGAACCAATAGATGTTGTAAAAAAGAAAATTCATGCTGTTACAGAAAAAAATTCCAGGCAATATTGATTTTAAAACAATCAATGACATAATGAGTGGCAGACACCCTTCTAAAAATTTGGAATTATCGCCTTCTGATAGTACGCACTTGAAATATGTTTTTAATACATCGGTTGATATGAAACGATAATTTAGCCGTTTTAAAAATATTTTGATACCTAGTAGGCGACATTTAACATTTGATAATTTAAAAGATATTGTAATAATTCAATGCAACAAATCATTTTGATAATTTAATAATAATAATCACTTTTTTTTCCCCACATATTTGGATGTTTTTAGCACATATTTTATAAATTATACTTACATATATATGTAAATATTTCTGTATTTTTATTATATATAAATCCGTTCCCTACTCATTACTATATTATATGAAAGCAAATAATTACAAAAAATCATTTAATGGATTTTTCAATGAACTAAAATTATTTAGAGTAATATCAGCTACAAGTTGTTCCTGCAAACGGGTATTTTCTAAATTAACAATAGTAAAAAATAAATTAAGGAGTATATCAAAACCGACTTAATAATTTATTTTTAATGTTTACTGAACTAAAACTAACATCTATTATAATTATTGACATGGTCATTTACGAATTCAAAAGTATAGAAAATAGGAGAAATAGTTTATGATTCTTTAATTGAAATTATTACACAATTAAGTTCATATAATCTGTAGTCAAATCATAAATAAGTGTTAAAAGTCGGATATTTTAAACCTTTTCGATATCAGTTATTTAGTTGTTAGTATATAATTATTAATCAAAATCGAAATATTTAGGAAGTACTCATTTTTATATTAAAAGACAAATGTTTGTATGAAATTCGCGCAGTTTGTAGGCAGCTGACATTTTTCCTAAATATTAATCAGTTATAGTTTGATAACACTATCATTTCAATGTAACTTAATTACCAACCATAATGCCTTTGTTTTTTTGCAAAAGTTGTAAAATTAAAAGTTCAACCTTTTACTACTTTATGTTAATCTATAATATCTATCTTATAATTTTGTTCGATTACTATATTAACCATCTACAGAAATGTAAACCGAACTATTAGACTTTGACTAATTGATTAAAATACAAAATGTGTAGAAATTTAAATATATATTCAACGAACACAATAATCACATGTACACTTTACATTAACATATACAAATTTAAAATATATCCACAGTAATACTCGTATAATGTGGTTATTCAGTAATATACCTTTGTAAAAAAATTTTTGAGGACAGCTCCAGTATGTACTACTAAATTTATTTCATATATTCATGGTTTATGTTAAAAAATATTTAAACAATAAACAAATTTATTTTATTCATTATCATAATCTTTTTATTTATGAATAATATTTTATCACATAAAACAATATTGGTAATACATTTCGTGTTATCTGTGGTAATACACAATTATAAATATATTTTTAACTAAATTTAAAAAATATATTTAAATTTACTCATTTCAAAACAGAAATTGATAATGCAATAGTAAAAACATCACACATTTATACAATCATAAAAATAAGAAATATTTTATGCATTATGTATTCAAAAATAAGATTGTTTTTTTTCCATTATTAAGTCAGTCTGTCAATGATAAAAAACAATTAATTAATAAAAATATTTGATTATAGAAAACGTGTAATATAGATTTACAATAATATTACAAACAAAACATTCAATAAACTGTTAAAATAGAATAAATTAAACCTATTATTACTATTCAATAATAATAATAATAATAATATATATAATTTTGTAAATAGATGCTAAAAATAACAACAAATAACTGTAATAAAATGTTTTAAATATTAGTTAAATTTATAACACTTTTATACGTTAAACAATTAAAAATTATTTTACTCATACCATGGCAAATGTAAATAAAATATAAAACAATAACTTGTTGAAAATTTGTCACAAAATGTTAACCTATTACTAAGTAGAAATATAAAGTTTTATGTGTACTGTATTCATGCTCAAAAATAACTTTAAAAATTGTAACTTATTAACCAATAAATTAGTTAATTAGTTAAAGATTTAATTTTTTTTTTTTATCAAAACTAAAATTATTAATCCAATTATGGACACAAATTTTCAAAAAGTCAAAAAATAAAAAAAAAATAATAAATAAATAAAATGAATGATACATTAATATAAAATTTGAAGTAAATCAACGTTTTTACACAACATAAACTAAGTATGGCAGTGGATACATTAATTAATATGGTCCACATGGTATTAGTATATAAAAACATTTAATAATTAGTAGTTCAATTAAGTACAAAACAAACACTAATTTTCCACTTATGAACAATATTTGTAAATTAACTATTCTGGATACATAGAAATATTTATAAAATATTATTTTTAATTAAACTAATATAAATGTTTGTTTTCAGTAATCATGTAATAAAATAAATTAAAGGTACAATCAAGCAAAATCGTAATATTTTTTTTTTTTTTTTTAACTGGTTAGTAATATAAAATAAAAGCTTTAAATTTAATATAAAATTAACAATTTAAGTGTTAAGAAAATAACATAATGAGATCTGAAATAGGATACAAAACCATTTGGAACATATATTCTAAAACTAAATATTATAACAAAATTTAAGGGAATCAAATTATATTATTTTAGGCTTAACTAAGTCTATGTTATTTTTGATAATCTAATAGAGGGAATATGAATAGTGGAATTAAGTGATGAGCAATCTTCAATTTTTTTTGGAATATTATAAAACCATTTTCCAATTTTCTCATGATTCATATTTGATATAATTTTTAAAGAATCATTAATTGACAGTGAACATTTAAACCTAGGGTTATTTATCGAGGCTATTTTTTCATGAATTTGTTCAATGATAGGTCTAGAATTAGAAATATAGGTTTGTGTAGGATAGTAAGAAATTTCATTAGAGAGTTTTCGTCGTAATTCAGGATGTTCAAATGTAAATATTTGATTATCTGAAAAGCTTTTTGATTCAGTTTCATTACTGAAGCTTGGCTTTCTGACCACGCGTATACATCGTTGAACAGGAATTGACTTTTCTGGGATTTCTTGATCATCAGATGATATTGAAATATGACTATCATTATCACTTGAAGGATTTTTCCTTTTTGAATGAGATACTCTTTTGAGGCGTATTATAACAGGTGGTTTATTATTGGATACATTTATATTATTATTAGAATTATTTTTTGTAGTTGATGGTTTGTTGTTTACAACTTCTACTTTATATATATCTTTAGGCAATATTTTTTGATGTGTTTTATGTTTTCGTTTCGTTTTTTTATGTGATGATTTAGGTAGTTTACTAGGCCTTTTTTGAGGTAAAAATGTAATGGTAGTTGAACGATATTTTCTCTTTAAACTTTGTTCATTTAAATTATAGGAATTTTTGTCACCAAATGAACATGTCTAAAAAATATACAAAAATGTTAGTTCTGAATATAGTATACACAGTATTCATTTACTATTTTATTATTGAAAAATTATTTGTTAAAAAGATTCTTCTAAGAAATATTTGTAGGGATTTAAGCCCAATATGTTTTATTGTGTCAAGGGCTTATTGATTTTAATTACTTTAACAGTAATTTACCTATATACTTGAATTATAATAGATTAACTATTAATTACCATATAAAATTGGTTGTGTGAGAAATTTATTACAAATTTATATTTATAAAATTATGCTTTACTATCAAGTGTATTATATTATGATAATATACAATTATCATAATCAAAATTTGATAAACTCAATAATAAAGCATAGCTATATTAAAATTTAGAAATGTTTAATAAATTAATAAATAAATTTGGAACTTTAATGTCTTTAATGCAAATGACAGTGTCCTTTTTTTTATCGGAGTTCATTAAAAACATGAAATACCTTTTAAAAAAATGTGTCATTATTAATCCTTACCACATTATTTTGTTTATTATTATCTGAATCAGAATCAACTATTGTAATAACTGTGTTCTCAACACAATTTTTGACATTTGATTGTTCCATAATTACATTTTCATCTTTACTAATTTTTCTAATAATAATAAATATAATTAATTCAAAAATTTATATGAATTTGTTGATAAATTATAAAACATACTTCTCAGGTTCAAAGTGATTAAAAATTACATTTAAAGGCCTCTCATTAATAAGCTCATCCAATTCATGAAATCTATTTTCGTCTTGACTTTCCCTCATGTGTTTTTTTGTATTTATATGTTCTTTATAATTCATAAAAGGCATATCACATAATTCACACATTCCACCAATTTCTGAGGTACTAAGAAAATTACCATCAAAGTTTATATTATTATTAAATAAAAAGGAAAGATTCAAAATTATTTTACCTATATTGATCAGAAGAATATTCATCGCCACTTATATCTCCATTAAAACTATTTTGAGTTTGAATTATTGGTTTACTTTTAGATAATGTATCTCCTAAATCTGGCCACTTAGGAATAAATTCAAACACAGGACATTGTCCTTGATCCATTGATTCTATTTTTAAACTAACTTTTCCTCTTAAAACACTTGCAACTTTGTCTGTAGGTTTTTTGTTAACACGATGTTTTTTCAGTGAAAATTTTAGCAAACGCTGAAACTATATTATAACAAATAAAATTTAAATTATAATTTGTGAGTTAAGTATTTATTCATACCTGTTTAGCTGATAAAATCTTTATGTTGAAGAGATTAGCTTTATTAATTAGATCAACTGAATTAGTGCATTTAGAAGATGAGACATTTTGTACTTCAATATCTCTTTTACACTAGAGTTTCAAAAAGTAAAACTATATTTATTAAAAATATTAAAAATAAAAATTTTAGAACTAAAAAATATTCATGTTCATACATTACTTAATTCTGAACCATTTTTATGTTTAACTCTTTCATCGCTTGATATATCTGATATTAAATAATCAGTATTTTTTTCTAGCGATTGAATTATTTTCTATAAAGTTAAAAATGTATTAATTAAATCATTTAATTTATTAAAAAAAAAAAAAAGATAAAAATATTAACTTCAATAAATGTTGTTTATTGAGAGTAAAACTCAGCATTACCAATGACAGACATTAATAAATTCATTATGAATTAAAAATTAAGTTTTACTGTCTGTTTTTTATTGCTTAGAAAAATTTATACTATATGTATCCTTTTACATAGAAAAATATTTAAACCATAAAATAACAGATTTCAAATAATTTTTTTTATTTCCTAATATTTATTCTTTATAGCAAAAATTAATTTTCATAATTCTCAATGTAGAAGAAACCTCAGAAATTACATAAATCAAAAAAAAAAAAAAAAAAATGTATTATAATACTTCTTTCTAAATTATCTAATAAAAATAATAAATTTCTATTACAATACATTAAATTATTTTATAATATTAAATGTAACAATATTATAAATTACAATTTAATTTAATGTAAAAATTTATATTTATTTAATAACAATATGTTGAATTAATGCATTTATTTTAAATATTTATAAAATGTAAAATCAATTAAAAATGAAATAATTGTTACCTCATACATAAATATTTTTCCCTATAAGATAATGAAACATTTTTATGAATTCAAGTGAAATGGTAAATTATTTATATATAAACATTTAAATATTATAAAACTTGTATTATAAGTGGTGCTAATTAAAGTCCAAATATCTATTGATGTTAAATAATAAATAATAATTAAAAATCCAATGTTAATATTTAATTTTATACAAAACAAAATACACATTTATAAATACTTACTCCTCCATATAAACATATGAGCTTTTCTATTTTCGAATTAACTTTTTTATCAACAATGTTAATTAGAAATGTTTTATCGTAGAGTATTAATCTTTTATGTTTGCTTGAAGTACCTAGAACTAAATATTAAAAGTAAATTAGTATTTTGAATACATATTTGAAAATTTTTAAATACATTTTCAAGTAAGTTCAGTTACTAAAATAACATTAATCAAAATTAATGATCAAAGTATAAATATAGTAATAACCCAATTTTATAACAATAAAATTATAAAATAAAATAGTAATTCAAATGACTGATGAAGAAATAGTTTATTCATTTTTAATATTTTGTTTAGTTCATTTTTTTAAATAATTGATTAAATCACATAAAAAAAAAAAAACATATATTGGTACAAATTAATAATTCTATAATACATGCAATATTATTTAAACTGCAAATTAGCTTTTAATCTATTTTATTATTTTATGAAAGTTTTATAAATTATGCTGAAGCATTGTAACTCGAGACAAATTATATTTATAATTTTAATTTAATTTAAATGAAAGTATTAATTAGTGTCGCAGTATTTAAAGGCATCGCCCATTTGCACCAAAAAAAATGAATTAGTTTTGGGTACAGCTAATTTGCGCCAAAATAAAAAAAGGTATGTTTTTTCAGACAGCTAATTTGCGCCAAATTTACCTATGTAAACATTTTAAATTAACGACTTGGTTAATTCTTATATTTTAAAGATGTCGTATCTATAACGTATAGTAAAGTTATTTTTATAAGTCTATAAATTTTAGAGCTTAATTTATTGCGTCGAAAGATAAAGTAAGTACTATTAACTATTACACTAATTAATAACTAATTTCAATTTGTATTACTCGATAAAAAATGTGTATTATACAGCTATTATTATTATTTTAAAAACTTTGTATAATTAACAATGATTTAAATAAAATTGTATTAATTATTATTTGAGAAAAAAAAATATATTACTTTATTATAGTTACACCACGTAAATTTGGCGCAAATGGGTCACCCTCATATTAAATGTGAGTCGTAAGTACATTAAAGGTCAGTTGGTATGACATAAAAATCTATGTAGTATTTAATATTTATAAATTAGGAATTTAATTGATTAAATTAAAATTGATTAATATTTAGATTATTAAGATCATTGACAACTCGTGCTATGGTGCACAAGAGCATGTGAATCATCCACAAAAATTATTAGATTCCTATATTATATTACAATGGGTCATTATATACATAATCTGTTGTAATTAACAAAAATATTTGTCAAAAAAAAAGTTTTGGTAACTTTTCGTCTTAAGAAGTATGTCTATTAACAATTAAATAATTAATGGATCATACATTCACTGTGCTCCAGGCGGCCATAAAAAATTATCTACATGCGTTATCACATTGGTTAGTAATACATGGTAATTTAGAGTACAATTGATGTGTGTACCGAACTTATTTTTATTATTCCACGTATCACATCAAATGTGGAAACAATATTTTGTATTTATGTCTCATATTATTTTATTTATTAGATATAATATCTTATTTTTTTCCAATATATTTTTATTTTACAGTGACGAAGAGCTTAGGGAATTTGAGAAAATTATATGCTGATAAGTATGTTATATGTACCCATACCTATAGTAAAATTAATATTTTTTTTTACCTATCTACATAAGTATCTTATAAATTATTTGTGCACCACCTTATATGAACCAGGAGCCACCGCTGATTAACTAATTTTAAAGTTAACGTTTGTTAGTTGTAAGAAATTTTCATCATGATGAATGTCAACCTACACATTATATAATGTTTTTAAATAAAATAATATTAACTACTACATTCATATACATTTTTAAGTATTGAAACATATGAATACATTTTTGATTACTAATGAGGTATTTATTATTTACAGTTCAAACTTGCCAAGAAAAGAAGTAAATGAAAATCAAATAATAAATATTCATATGTTAGTAACTATATTTTTTGGAAAGACAAAAACAGATCAAAACTTAAAATTAAGGAATTTTCTTTCTTGGGTGATTAATATAGAATTTCATAGGAATCTATAAGTGTGAAATAAAAAGTTAAAAACCTATAAATGAATTAACAACACATTTGAAAATCTTATTAAAGTTTTAACTGCAGGCTTATATTTTATAATATTAAAACTTCTACTTATATATACAGAAACTAAGAAATCTTTAAGTTGGTTTAGATGTCCTCTTCCATAATGATAGTAATTTGTTTAAGAATACTGTTTTTTAATGTAAAAAAAAAAAAAAAAAATACATCATGTTATAACAAACCAAAAATTTTGATTATAATAATTTGTTTTATCCATTCCATTACTTTTAAAGAATTATTTTCTATACCATATATATTACACATGTAGCAATAATAATGATACGATGGTATGACTTAATAAATGCGTAGTGTAGACACAAAGAAAATGGCGAATTCATCTTAAGAACAGCCATCCAGTAATATAATAATAAAAATCCAGGGCACCAAGACGATTAAATTTTCAAAGTTGACTTACCTGAGTGATCCGCTGAAGGTTGGTGGTTTAGGTTTTCGGAACTCATCTCGTTTTTGTGAACTCGACTACACAGAGTGCCGACTGGATTCGGGCTCTACGATATTTTCCCGAAGACGTAGCACGTACGACACGGATGGCCGACAGAAGTAGAGAACAGCTGTTGGCCTCTCACAGACCTTTTGCTGAGAATCGGGCCGTCTGCCAGTTTTCGGGCAGAGCGGGGAGGGGAACCTGAACGTCGCAATCGTGACGGTATAGGTAGGTACGGCAGAAAAAATTAAAATAAAACCTGATAACGATAGTAGTGTAGATGCGGCAGTAGCGCGAGAGGAAATTGAGACAACGCGAGTACAAGAATACAGAGTTACCGCACTACGAGTGCGAGCGACAGCGTCACAGGCAATGGGAAATGAGCGACGAACACCGACGACGGCAATCGCGGTGGCGATAACGACGCGGTGCGCGCGCGCATGCGTACTCCTATCGCATGTACGGTGTACGCGGCGTGGTGCCCCGTCAAACGTATCAACGTATCGCTGCAAAGTGGAAAGCGTCGCTTGTCGCTAGAGCATTGCCAAATTTCAAAAATAAAAATACGACGAATAAAAAAAAAAGTTTATATATATATATATATATCAATGAACTTGGTAGTTCTGCGTTTGAATGTGAATGTCGACATTTTACAAGGAGATACGAAAATAACAACACGCGCTTGTACACCTAATTCGACGACAACAAGCATAAAATTGCGACATGCGCAGTCGGAAAGTTGGCGAAGAGAGAAAATGCGATCGACGTTGTTGTATCTACTCCCGGTTATTTCAATTTATAACACCTTTAATGTCTTTAATTGTTGTCGTATCGATGTCTGATAACTAAAAATTTATTTTACTAAATTCTTGGTCACAATAGTTCACTATTATTAATATTATGTTCAAATGTTCAAAGGACGTACAGGGCAGATCTTGCGAAAAGTGGAATTTTTTAAGATTTCGGCACAATTTTGAAGAATAAGACGTTCTCGTAAAACCGGGATGACCAACAGGTCAATCGTGAATCTGATTACCTTTCATTTTTTTTGTCCAACTCACGAATATAGAAATTTAATTGACAACAATTAATTGAGCCAGTATATAGTAATAAATAGGGTTCGGAAGTTGATGCGTTTTGCATTTTTTTTCGAACTTTTTAAACGATGCTTTCCTGGCCACAAATGTGTTTCATTAGCATATGAATCCGAATAACTAATTTTTATTTCGCATTTTTTTTTTTGCATTTTTCGGTGTTTGTTACTTTTTAAGTAATTTTTTGACATTTAAGTAATTTTCCCACATTTATAGTCTTTTTACTGATTTCACACTAGTTCACTTCTTATCAACCATTATGCCGATAACTTGAGACCACGGTTTAAGATAGAATCTATCTTAAACCGTGCTTAAGACTTATTCGATTTTATCTCGTTGATTACAGTCGTCGCGTCATTGTCATGTTATAGTGAATAATACCTATTATATCCAAATTTTATTATTTTTTCGTAATTTTTTTCGAAATTACGAAAATTAAAACGTCGGTTAGTGCTCGTCTGCGTCTCCCAATCACTTCAGAGGACGTGGAGAAAAGTTTTTCCAAATATAAATATTTATAAACCCAGTGGCGGAACTAGATTCTTGGAGGCCCGTGTTAAAAATGTTCGTGGCGAATTGCTAGGAGAGAATTAAAAAAAAAAACTAACAATTTTGTTTTTCTCATGTAACATCTTTATTCTTTAATATATGTACAGTCGAGTCGCGATACCTCGAACCTTGATAATTCAAAAAACTTGACAACTCGAATTGTGTTTTATTCCCCTAGAAAATTCTTCCCTATAAATTAGTTAGATATCTCAAATAATACATAACTCGAAGTGAATTTTTATACCCCTTCAACATCGAGTTATCGCGACTCGACTGTATAATATAAAGTACTGCAATATACTTTGAATATATTTATAAGTAGGTAAATATTGAAAGTAAGTTGTGAATATTTTTTTCGGCTTTGGTTTTGTGCAAAAGTATTGATCAATGCCGACATATTAAATTTTTTTGCACGTTCGTTTTCAATAGATATTATGGTCAAACCACTTAGACTTGTTTGAGACATGGTGTTTCTGAGATAGCTTTTTATTAACTTCAGCTTTGAAAACGATCTCTCAGCACTGGCTACATTTATTGGTACATATACATAATTTTGTATCAACATATCTAATACTCAGTGGGGTAACTAGAAATAATTTAAGGGGGGTCTAACAATTTTACTTAATTTGTTCTCTAAATATAATCATAATAAAGGGCGATCATTGGGGAAGGCAAGATTGTGCACTTGCCCCCCTCCCTTCTCTAGAAAAATAATATTAACATAAAATTGAATTAGTGTTACCTATTTGAGAATATATAACTCATAATTTTAAAAACAAAATTGACTCCTTTTTAAAGTTTTAATTATGGGCATCCATCAAGGCCGTATTTGAGTTGAGGCCATGAGGAAGGCAAAACTAATTTTTCTTCAATACAAACTTAAAAATAATTTATAGTTCATTACTAGGGCGTATCCAAGGGGGGAGGAGATTTCGGGTCCAGACTCCCTCATTAAAATTTCTACATACTCAATGGTTTAATAGTATATAGTACTTAGTGTATTTTAATTTCTCATTATCTTCAATATACAAAGTTTATAGATTATATAATATACCTATAATATATAAATCATGTTTAATTTGTATTACTTTTTTAATATTATTTATTATTGTTAATTAAATAATGTATTTTTTTATAACATTTTATTATCAAATAAAAATTGATTTCAAATTATAGTATCTACCTATTATAGTAAACCTTTGTGAAAAATATGTATGATGTATGCAGTGCCGTCTTAAAGCATGGGCTCGTAGGGCCCGGACCCGGGGCCCCGAAATTTCAAGGGCCTCAAATTCACATAGATTACATTATTCACAAAATATCATAATTTTACATTTTGTTTTTCTTAAAATGTTTTTAATATTTATCTCATAGACTCGAACGAAAAAATATTAAAATTAGCTTTGTATCAAAATACTAAATAATACAATTTGATTTATTCCTAGCACACACGTATATAATTTTGACATGCACTGTGTTATCATTATTTCGATTTGTTTTATCTAGAAGTATTATGTGAAGTATTAAACTGTTACTAGAGAAAAATTTCCAGATTCTGACTATACAGGTTTACATCAACGAACTAAGAAGAGGAGTATATATTTAATATTCCCCGGTGAACAGACTTTTTAAATGTTAGATTATATGCAAAATATTAAGTTAATTAAAAAACGCATATGACATTTTTTTCAAAATATTGTCTACTTTAGATTTTATAATAGGTGTTTTTTCTTTTAAGAGGACGTTATTACGCTCATTTTCTACGATAAAAACATGTCTACGCAAAACAAACAAAACGGCCCTAAAAAGTGGTTTTAGAGTAAATATACCTATGATGAAATTTATAGAGAACGATATTTAAGAGAAAATGTCATATCCGTTTTACAATAAAGCCATTAGTTAAAAAATTACTACTAATTAAAAAACATAAAATATTTATATTTTGTATTTTAATTTATAAGTTAAATACTAGCAACATTAAGAAACTCATATTTTGTTTTCTCCAAATATTGTTTTCTTTCGATTTTATTATGGGTGTTTTTTCTCTAAAACTACTGCAAAGCGAATAATTACAGTTTTCCGTAACTATGTTTTAGTACCTAGTACTTTTAAATTTTTATTAAATTTAAATATTTAATATTATATTATATAATATTAAATATTTTAATATTTATATATATATATATATATATTAATTATATTATAATATATTTTAATATATATAATATAATAATTAATATATAATTTTATATATTTTAATTATATTTATTATTTATATATATTTATATTTATATTTTAAATTTATCATTCCGCTTTGTGCTGCTGCAAATGGTATATGTTATAAATATAATTTTTAATTGACTGCGTGATGGGAGGGAGGTAGCGCGTAGCCGGCCGTCGTCGGTATTATCGATAAGAATTGTCGTAATTCCATGAATTATATGAATTCAGAACTATATCAAAAACTATTAAAATTAAGGTTTAGTTTACTTGGCCGGAAGATTCAATCTAAAAAATATATAGCCTAGTACCAGGCGCGTACACAAAAAAATTTTTAGGGAGGGGTTTTACGTTGTACATTTTCATAATAATATAATCTATATATCAATTTTACTATATAAAAACATATTTAATATCATTTTCCTGAATTTCGGGAGGGGTTTGAACCCCTAACCCCCCCTTGTGTATGCGCCTGCCTAGTACTAAGTTTATGTAATAGATAAGGGCCCATTAAAACAAATAAAATTTTTTCCGGCAAAGTAAACTAAATTTAGATCGATTTTAGTTAAAATAATTCATATTATAAATTAATATAAATAACCAATTTTTATTAAATTTGAATTAATTACTGATATGTACATTTTACACGTTAGATCATTTACTTAGATTTCACTTTATATCAAACATTTTATAGGATTTTTATTTTTTTTTTTTACTTCTCGTTTTTTTACATGGAGTTAACGGAGTGTTTTTGTTGGGATATTATGAACATAATATATCAAATATAACAAAATATAACAAAAATATCAATGATTTTATAACTTATAAATATATATGTTACCGGCAATATACATAATACGAGCTTTGTCTAGGTATTATGTATAATGCCAATCGTGGAGTAGGAAATATGAAGAAAATTAACAAAATTGGACATCCCCTATTACCAACGACTTTACTTATCATTTATCATAAATGTGCATTCACGATTTAACGCCATAATGATTAATATTCTTTTACTACCTACTATAATAATAATTATAAGATACAATATTGAATGTACTAATAATTTTATTGCAATATCGTAATTTTTTTCGTCATTTTCGTGTTGCAACTATAGTATGTATATGCATACCAGTGGCGCACACGGGGGGGAGGGTCAAGGGGTTGTAACCCCCCCCCCGAAATTTTCTCCGATGTCTAGGTTAAAATTTACAAATTTTACAAGTTTGAAATATGAAGAGGTATTATTAAATACCTATCATTGATTATAGAATAGTCTATTCTATTATCAATGCTATTATTTAAGTCAAAATATATTAAAGATTTGCATAATTTTGTTAATTGTAATATTTGTTACATTTTTACCTTGACTCCCCCCCGAAAAAAAATCCTATGTGTGCCACTGATGCATACGATTTATATGAAGTCAAATTGTTATAACAAACTACAATTTTTTTTTATAGAATCTTAATGTAATATAACATATAATAAAATTTTTTGTATTTTGCCTAAAAAAAAATTGACATTTTGCATGTCTAGGTATTTTATAAAATACCTAGGTTATATGTAAAATAATATTGAAAATCATATGTTTTATTTATTTATATCGAAAATTATTAATAAATTATTTACATAAAATCGATTTAATTTTGTCGATTTTTAAATCAATCGATTTTATCCTTTCGATTTAAATCAATTCACTTTAAAGAATCGCCCATCTCTACTATGAATATATAACTACAAAAGAGGGGCCCTCGCCCCCCCCACCCCTTGAATCCGTCACTGGCACAGAGTTTTATATTATGTATATAGTAAAGGTCTGCACGGGCCGATACTTTGCAGCCCGGTCCAGCCCGGTAACATTTTTGGAAAGCTCGGCCCGGCCCGCAAATAGTTTTAGGTGAGTAAGCCCGGCCCGGAAAAATTTATAGAAAGCCCAGTCCGGCCCGCCAATATTTTTGACGAGTAAGTCAGCCCCGACCCGGCCCGGTAACATTTTTAGAAAGTCCGGCCCGATAAAATTTTTAGATAGTCCGGCCCGGTTAAAAATGAAAAAATATTCAGTCTTTTGAATAACAAATTAAGTAGTAAGTACTAAGTACCTAATGTATTATAACTAACTTTTAAAATATTATTAATTTAAAACATCACTTTTAATACAATTTCAAAAAAAAGTTGTTTGTCTTTAACAACATATTTAATAATAAAAAAACATCTTATAGAATTAATATAAAATTTAAACAACAAATATCACATTACTACTTAATGAATATTGACGAAGTCTGATGATTGATTGTTACTTTACAAACTGAAAACGACAGAACACTGTCTACGATAAACCACGAATCACGATGACCAAACGTTGATAATATGTACACGATTGATTTGTTAAATTTATATAAATTAATTACTCAATATTTGAAAATTGTTTTGCTATAACATCGCAATTTACAATAGATAGCCAGATAGGTATTAAATAATAGAGACCATGATGGATTGTAGATAATACCTACTAAATAGTAGATTCTATTTTTTTTTTTTTTAGATACAATTAGACATTAGTTAGTGCGTTTCAGCGGGTCTGGGAACTACAGTCACCCGTTTTCCGGTTTATCAAATCACGTGGTTATAAATAGCTAATATGTCATCGCCACACGTCTGTCCTATTGTTATTTTACATTATTATAGTTTATAGGTTCTTCAGAATAAAGATTAAAGATAGCAAAATTTCGTCATACCTCACTTGTACGTGTCTATAATTTATATTTGATACCATAATGTTTTTTATTTGTTGGCCCGTAACTTTTGTCGAAAAAATAGTCCGGCCCGGTCCGGATTTTATTTAAGAAAAGTCCGACCCGCTCCGGCCCGTAACTTGTGCTAATTGAAGGTCCAGCCCGGCCCAAAGTCCGTCCGGGCCGATCCGGGTAAGCCCGGCCCGTGCATGTCTTTAGTATATAGTACCGAATCGTATGAATAATCGTGCGATGCAAACAAAATCAAGTTATCGATATTCTGTTGGCGTGCATTTGTTTTGACCAGTGCTATGCGGGTTAAGTATGGTGGGTGCCGTATTGTTGTTGTCCATCCTCCATTCCTTCCGTTACCTCCACAACGATAACAGCGTTTTTATAACATTTAATGTTGCATATATATCTGTGTGTCGCTATTACGGGGGAAAAAAAAGTTCACTTTTTCTTTTCTCTCAACACACGTATTCGGCAGCGATACACAACGTCTGCCTGTTACCTCCTACCACTGAGCGTTGTTGTTGTTTACTCTTGTCCGATGGCGGCCAACGTTCGAATGATAAGACGCGCATGTGTTCAGTCGACGCAACGGTTATTGTTTCATATGCTATAGTCAGTTGGTGTTTGTGACGATTGAACGGGACACGTCCGATCTGTCTATACGTTTTGTGGGATCCATCTGAGGACTGGCCGGTGTGCTCTCAGGGCTGTACTACGGCAGGTCTGCTCCCTGTCAGTACAGTTTCCACTGTCGTCTGGAAAGACGAGGTCGATATTGTTCGTTTGGTCGCGTTTCTTTTGTGAGCAGCCGTTGGTGGTGACCATTGTCTCATTTACGTTATCCAATTCGACGGCGGTCCCGCGATCAGTAACTGCGGTTGACGGTGTGGTAACATTGCAGCGTCGTTGGCAACATGCCGGTTGAAACCGACGACAACACCATCATCACGGTCTCGACGATCGGTTTGGAGGCCGCTGAAAGCGGGCAGAACCATGACATGTTGGTCGACACCGACGACAAAACCATCATCACGGTCTCGACGATCAGTTTGGAGGCCGCTGAAAGCGGACAGAACCATGATGACATGTTGGTCGACACCGATGACAACACCATCATCACGGTCTCGACGATCGGTTTGGAGACCGCTGAAAGCGGACAGAACCATGACGACATGTTGGTCAACACCGATGACAACACCATCATCACGGTATCGACGATCGGTTTGGAGGCCGCTGAAAGCGGACAGAACCATGACGACATGTTGGTCAACACCGCCGACGACACCATCACCACGGTCGCAACGACCGGTTCGGAGGCCGCTGACAGCGGACAGAACCATTGCGAGACTACTTCGGCGGTTAGGTAACGCGTCGTTGTTTACTTTTAGGCTCCAATCGTGGTCACTGGCTGTTACAATGTCCGCATTTTTTCACTTTTGACATTGGTTTTTTGACGTACAAGTCCACCTGGTCTACTTGTTTTTCGCATCTCCACAATGTTCTATTTTTACGTATCGACGAATTATTAAAATCGCGCAATGATGAAGAAATCAAAATGTTTGTCTCATACATTACGAGTTATTGCACGGATGTGCATGATATTAAATTCAATTAAATATAAGTATAAAAGACATTGATATTTTTTATTGATTCATTCCCAGAATATTTTGAATCTTATTCTTATAAATAGCTTTCAAGATGCTTATCCCATCGTACATACAGCCTATCGAATATTTCTTACTTCACCCATGATATTGACATCTTGTGAACGCAGTTTCAGTGAACTGAAATTAATTGAATCATATTTTTAAGAGAATTAAATATAAACAAAACGTTTATTGAGGCTGATGTTCTTAAATTATAATTTATCAATGAAATATGTAATAGAATAACGTAAAGTAGATTTTATTATGAAACATTTTATGAGCACGGGAGCATTTTAGTTAAAAGATTGATAATATCTCTTAATTTTTTTTAGGGAGGAGGCTACTCTTCTAACAATTACTAATCATTACATTAATGACCAAGATATTTAAAAAACTATGAATAAAAAAAATGAAATAACACATACTAGTTCTGTTCGTCACTTAGTTTGATAGGCGATATATTAGAAATACTAGCACAAGTAGTGCTATGGTAATACGATAACGATTATAGATTAAAATAAATATTAATAGATAATCATAATAATTACACCATTCGTCCCTATCTGCAATATTTTCTTGGAAATAATAAAATATGCATAGGTACCCTCATAAAATGGTCAGCTGAATTGACCAAAAATATATATCTCGCAAGAAACTAAATCTTCTCAACATTTTAGGGGGGTTATCCCCTCATTAGTACACCACTGGTTGTAATCATACAACCTTTTTTTCTTGTATGTATCACAGTTATTGTGTAATACCTATATGTTATTACTAATCAAAGTCTATAAATAATTCCTATTTGTTTATTACCTTCAATCTATTATTTTAATTATATTGCTCGAGTAAGCATCATTTTAGCATATTATGAACAATTTTACCATAATATTCTAAGGTAAAAGCAGATTTGAATGTTAAAAGAAATATTTAATACTTAGTTTAATGTGCAAATATTGTTAAAGGTCTTCTAACAATTTTGTTTTTATGCAATTTTTTTTTTTATCATGTGGTTTTTGAGTGTCATAAAGATATTTTAAAGAAATACTATTACTAATGTACATTTTTATGAATAACACTTAAAAGAGTTTTAATATAAATTATAAATAATGTATTTTATCAGGCAATTTGATTTTTTGTCACTTTATTCAACAATATAAATTTTATTTAAAATTTATATTAGGAAAAATTGAATTATAATACCTATGGATCACTATTTATTATAATAATTTGTATTTAGGTCATAGAGTACTTAATGATTTATATTATAATCATAGAGTCTATGATTTAGGTATATTATAGTAGATAATAGATTTTTCATTCTTCTTTTATCAATTATGTAACTAATAATTAAATATTTGATAATTATTATATGCAATTTAAATTTAATTCTTCAAACATTTGTATCTAAATTTAATTTTAAATTTGTATTTATGTTTTAGTAATAAAAAATTTATTTTTATAGTGTATCAATCAAAATGGATGGAATAATAAAAGAATCTACTTGTGATTCTAAATCTGAACCAAGTACTCAAGTGAATAAAAGTGTAAAAAAGCCAAAAACCGGATTTGATCGTGGACTTCAGCCTAATAAGATAATTGAAGCATCTCAAGTCAATCGCAAATTAATGTTTTTAGTTGAATGGATAAATGGCGAAACTGATTTGTTAGATTCATCTTTAGTTTATAAGAAATGCCCTCAGATGGCTGTTAAGTTTTTTATGGAAAGACTGACTAGTCCTGAAAATGGAATTAATATATGATTTTATATTCTACTAACTGGATCACCCAAATTTCATGGAACAGTTTCGGCGAGGACTAGTTTTAAACTTGTTTTTTAATGGTAAAATGTTTTGATAAAAATGTCACCAATAATAGATATTAATGAATTCAATTAAGATAAAATATTGCATTAGGGTATAACTTTTAATTGTATATACAGTTGGATTTGAAGATAAAAGAACTAACAATTAAACAAACAATTTTGAGTTATCTATGAATTTGAGTATCCAAAAAATATAAAATTTCAAAATATGTATATTATTTAAGACTGTACAATATTTACAATAATTATTTTGTTTTTATTTAAGTATGTATTTATTATAATGTTTATATAGTTACATATGTACTATAATTTCAAAAATGTATAGAATTTTTGTTTGGCATGGTTGTCTATTGATCACAACATTTGTAATGAAATTTTAAATTTTATTTAATGCTTCAAAAAGTTTATCACTGACTACTGGTTTGTTTTTTCGATAAATTTCCTCAATTCTTCTGATGCATCTGTACTTGTTCAGTGCTTATGATGAGGGGCTCAGTACGTTATGTTTCCTTTTCTTCATTGGACTTGATAGAGATGTCTAAACGTTTGATTAATTCTGATAAATTTCTGCATACTTCCAAGTCATTGTCCATGTTAATATAGTCATCTGAAAGATTATGTAGATGTTACTTCACATTGTCCCATTTATTTATTGTAATTATATAATTTCTTCATAACCCATATTTTTTACATTCTTATTTAAAAAGCCAACTAATGAACTTTTTGAAAATAACTTACTGGGACTTGTGGTGTTATATGGTCCTAAATATTTTTGGTAATTTGATTTGTTTGTAATATATGAATTTTATCACCATCTGATTGCAGGTTCTGTACTAACAAACTATGTTAATGGCGGTCAATATTCTTAATAATCTTTTGGTTTATTGTCTGAACAGTAGATGTCCTAATATGGGCGAATAAAAGAAATTTCCGAAATTTTCCATCGTAAGAATGTAATTATGAGCAGTGCAATAGTCAATAAACTATATCATGCATTGTGTAATATTTTTTATAAATTTTCAATTTTTTAAAAATATTTCTTGTCATCTAAGCTTTTTTATTTGTTTGACATACTTTTGATTCAACTACTCTTAAATAACATCGGTTTTGTGGATTTTTCTGTTATTAATCCTACACTGCGCAAATTAAATTTAAGTTCTGATTTTTTTAGCGGAGAAATTTGTAATGAGTAATTATGGAACATAGGAAAAATATTTATTTTTTTTTTTATTTGTATAGATTTTTTTTAAAATGTATCACCTATGACAAATCGCACGCTTAAAACATAAAACATTTTTTTTTTCGAATAAACCTTCATTTATTCTTATGTCTCAACAATATTATGTTTAAATACTGAAAGGCGTGCTCAAGAATAGATGATTTTTGAACAAGAAATGAAAGAAAAATATTCTCATTACGAAGAAATGTCGAAAGAGGTATGAATTATAAATGATGTACTTAATTATCGATTTTATTAAGCTTTAAATGCTTATTGATTTAGAAAGGAGAAGAAAGTAAAATAAAAGAAATTAATATAATAAAAAATACGTGGCAACAAACTATTCAAAACAAGCTATTAAAAAATATAAACCAGTATTGATAAAGAAGTCAGAAAGACCTGTGATAGTACTACACAACCATACATTTTCTATTTCCAATTAGAAACTGTTCAAATTCTGTATGCCAGTAATTAGTGAGTATTTATAAATTACACTTACTATAGATTTATATATATATATATATATATATATATATATAATTATATTACTATAATTACATATGGATCAGAAACATGGATATTAAGAAAAACAGAGGAAAATAAACTGATTATTTTAGAGAGGAAAATCCTTAGAAAAATTCTTGGTCCAGTAAAAGACGATTTAACTGAGGGATGGAGAATAAGAAAAAACAAAGAATTGGAGGATCTTTTTCAGTAGCCAAACATATTGGATATAATCCGGAGTAGGAGACTTAAGGCTAGGTCAGAACGGACTGCTGCACATGGTATTGGCAGAGAACCCAGTAGGAAAAAGACCTCTTGGGCGCCCCCGTGTAAGATGGAAAGATATAGTAAAAAGAGACGTGGTATCGTTGAATGGTGGCCCATATTGAAAAACAAAAGCAGCGGATCGAGACACCTGGAGGACTGGATGTTATATAATCATGATGATTTTATAAGAGTATCTATCTCCATCATGAGCTTTTCATACACTTTTTCCCTCATTGATTTCTATGATTATATTCATTTCATGATTATTTAATTGATTTATACTAAGTAACTAAAAAATCCGATAAATAATTAATCTTCTCCATTTTTACTAATTTTAACTTTCTTAAGTATTAAATTTGAGATATTTTTTTATGGGTAGAAATATAGAAGTATGATAAAATAAAACTATTGACTAAATTTTTATTCCTAGCTTTAATGGTTTCATCTAAGTAATGAATAGTCATGTTTTTTTTTTATACCTGCATACAACTTTGTTTTATTAAACTTTTTGAGTACATGATGTAACAATTTAAATTAAAATAATCAGATAGAAATACATTCAATTACATCAAGAGTTATTGAAATATATTCTTTTAAATTATTGATATGATTACAATTAAGTGTTAAATTTAGCTTATTATAAGATTTTTCAAAAATTGTTTTATATTTATTTTTTGGTCAAATTAAAAAATATGTTATTGTATACATTAATTTTATTGTCCTATGTAGATTTCCTTTTAATTTTTATATTCCAATGGATTCAATTATTTTACTAAAATAGCCTTAGTCTGAATTGTTAATATGTGACAAATTAATTATATAATAGTGTCTAATTTCAAATTTCAGTAACTGTAATTTCAGTAAAAGAAAAAAAAAAACTTAATACAAACAAAGCCAAGGTGAATATTACATTTAAAGAACATTTACTTCACTTGGAAAAAAAATGTATTTAACATAATGCAATGCCATTTTTTTAAACAGTAACAAAAAAAAAAAAAAAAAAAAAAAAAATACAACAAAATTAACAAATAAAATAAGCACTGTACAAATATTAATACAACAATATTTTATAACCACTACACACAACTGAAGATAGTGCAAGGTGAACCACAATGTATATTATATATATATACTTTATATTCGGTTTAGCTTAACAAATCAAGTATATACTACAAGCTTTGATGTAAAAAAACCGAATAATGTTTGATTTTAAAAATGAATTTACACCTTGCACTTTCTTTGTAAACATATTAGATTAAATAAACTTAAATTGGCAACACAGGATAGAGAATATAGAAAATAATAGATAATCAGCATATGAATACATTTATAAGAAATCACCTCTAATAAATATTTCAACCTTTGTTAAATGAAAGTAGATTAATAATAACTAACTGAATGAATTGTTGCCAATAAAAACATAGTTAATCAATACTAAGATTAAGGTTTAAAATAAACAAAATATCACATACATTTTAATATGTATCATAATTATGTTTTTATAAGAATTGCATGTTATTTATATTAATATTTATGTTTTTGTCAAGTTATTTTAATACTATTTCCAACAAACCACCAGAGTAGCAATCAATAAAAAAAGAAAATAATATTCATTTGTAAAATAAAATCTGATAATTTCCCATAAATATTCTGTAACATCAACAATAATTTTAAATTTTAAACACAAAAGTCAATATTGTTTACATAATAGACTAATTAATTATAACGATAAATAATAATAATCATAATAAAAATAATAATAATAGTAATAATCATATGTATATATTATAAACGACTAGTAAACATAAAACACCATGTCGATATTCATTTTTAATATTTGGTATTTACATAAAAAGTCAAAATTATGTTGTAATTGCTCTCAGAATATATATCTGAATAAAAAAATAACAATTATCACATCTAAAAATATATATTAATATGCATTAAAATAAATTTAATATAGATATTTAAAATAATAACAAATTAAAAATATATAATTTAAAGTATTTATATTTTTACTTTACTTTATGATGTAGGTAACATAATTTTTGGAATAATTTTATGTGTTAAGAATTATTATTTGGAATGTTTTATTTAAACAAATATATAATATATATATATATATATATATAAATTTTGGGAAAAGAATAATAAGTATATCTTAACATTGTTGATTTAATAAACAAATATTCGTGTCATTCCACATTATGTTCTTAAAAATGAATTATCATTATATTTGTTTACTTATTTCTTTAGTGTAATGCAATGATATCTAATCTTTTAAGTGGCAGGAATAAACAAATTTTCAAAATTTGAACATATACAAATCAAACAATAATATACAATTATATTGAATAAATATCTATTTATCATCTTCGCAGTCTTCTTCCATTGGTTCTTCACTAGGTTCTGAACTTCTGAAATGAATATTAATAATTAAAGATTTTTTCTTCCTGTAGTATGTCATTAGACATAACTGAAACTTTAAACTCGTTCTTTACATAATGGGTTTTCATATTGAACATTTTTATTTAATGAATAAACATAAATAAAAAAATATTTTAAATATATACATTTTTGGTTGTTACTTACTGTATTCTGTGTCTGGTCATGGACAACGAAGCCATAGCACTTACTGTCTCATTTTCTTCACAAAGCGTAGCTTCCACAGCACTGCATGAAACAGTGTGTGCCAGTTTTTTTAGAACGGGCCAATAGGGAAGCTATCAAATAAATTACATATGAAAATAATGATAGATATTAATTTTAAATATATTTTAAGTTACCTGTATAGCTATGGTCTTTTGCAATGTTTTTATAGCATTTTGACAAGGAGTACGGTGTAATTCAGACTCAACAATTGGTGTCACATCATCTTCAAGTAGTGCTCTTACACACTCTTCAGCACTATCGCATATAGCTGTTAGATCATATCCACCTTCCAATGATAAAATAACCTATACATCAAATTTAATTTATATAAATATTTTCAATTCAATGGTTATTTAATAAAATTGTTAATAAGCAGTTGTTTGGTATAAAAGTCTTGAACTAAATTATTCAAAATAATTGTTGGTACTGTAGAGTGAAATTAGTGAATATTTATAGACATTATCACATATTTGAATTCCTTTTTGTTTCAATTATAATTTAGTTTATGAAGTTAATATTTAATATTAATTTCATATCAAAGTAAAAATCTAAAAAATAAAGTGTGATAACTTTCTACTACATAAACATTGTGAAGTTCGATAACTTGTTTTAATAACATTTATTTTTCTCTTAGAATGTAATACAAATTTATAATTATACATTTGATTTTTTTTTCATGTATATTTAATTACTGTAATATGTACTATGTACATTGTCATATATTTATATTAATATACAGTAAAATAATTGTCTCAGAGTTATACATCAAAAGGGAATTTAAGCAAAGCAATAAGAATTAAAAACAAAATAACACCTTCCCATCAGCTAATTGCATTAATTGCTGAGTCATGTATGCAAAACAAGCTGGTGTGACGTTATATCCACCCAATGGAGCTGGATGACCTGAAGCTGCATCAAAACCTGCAGATACCAGTATAATTTCTGGAGCATAATCCTGCAATGTAATAAATAAGTTCAGTACTAATAAATAAATCAATAAATTTTATCTTTACCCGGGCAATTGGCATAACAACTGTACGAAAAGCAGCTAAATATTCAGCATCACCTAATGGAGGATGTAGACCACCACTCCATGCAATATTTACATTGTAACCCAAACCACTGGCAGTACCACACTAAATCATAAATAATAGTAATAAATATATGGAGTTAGTCACATTTTATTTTAAAATATTTACCTCTTCAGGAGCTCCAGTCCCTGGAAAGAAATTTCCTTCATCATGACGATGAATAGATAAATAAAGTACATTCCGATCATCATAGAAAATTTGTTGAGTTCCATTACCATGGTGAACGTCCTATTATATAAAAAATGTATAAATTTAATACAAATTAATTATTTAAGTAAACGTAAACATACCCAATCAACAATTAATATACGTCGTACACCTTGTCGTTGTTGCAATAAACGACAAGCAACAGCAATTGAATTAAAAAAACAAAATCCCATAGCTTGATTGGCTTCAGCATGATGGCCAGGAGGACGAACAATTGCAAACCCATTTTTTATATCACCCAAGGTAGCTAATATCAGTTATAAGTTCATAATGTTATCATACAACTTATAAATCAAATATTTTTATTTAATCTAAATTTACACTACTTTTAAAAGCTAAATCAATGACGCATCCAACTGCCATGCGAGCAGCAGGAGCAGTATGTAGATCGTTCCATGTAGTATCAGAGTCAACACCTAATCCACCACAAGGTAATCGTACTAAAGCTTTCACTGGTAATTCGGCTAATTTAGAACTATCCATTTTTTGCCGACTGGAAGGATTAGTACCTAATTAATAATTAAAATGATTAAATAATACAATTTTTTTAATATTTGAATCACTTATTACAGAAAGGGGAAATGTTCACACAACATTTTTACAGGAGACACATAAATCTATCTAGGCAAGACTTAGGAAAGAGGTAGGTTTAAAATAAGTAAATTACCTAAATACTCATTTTTTTTGAATATTTTAATGGATTAGTCCCGTTATTTAGACAGATAAATACAAATACGTAAAAAACTAAATTTCGTCAAAAAGTGGACATGACCTTTTCTGCAATTAGTGATTCATATAATATAGATCTAATGTTAAAAGGAACAAACCAAATAAAAGAGTATGAGGTTCTGTATGACAAGTTTGTAATTCTTCTATTGTAGCTTTTCGTGGTCTTAACTTATCACATCGTCTTGCTAATCCTGTTTCAATCAATCGGGCCCATACACTCTGAAGCCGTCCACTATGTTCAGGATGTATAGCATTATTACCACATTTGCAAGCATGTTTTAACATTAAACTGTCAAATGCCAATCCAGTAGTAGGACGATGTGGACTTCTAAAATTAAAATGTACATGAATAATTTAATATTTATTTATTTTGTGATGCTTACCCTGACAATTTAGCACCAGAAGAATTCATGCTAGTTGATGAAAGGTAAGGCGATGATGATGTATATGTGTCAGAATTATTGCTTCCTGTACTTACAGCAACAACGTCTAAAGGACTGGAATAAGTTCTAACTAAAGGTAATGCAGTATGAGTATTTCGATTTGCAAATAATGAAACTGCGAAAAAATATATATTTTTAGAAATTCATAAAATAATAAATTTTTAAGTTTAAATGAACATACCATCATTTGATTGAGACGATTGGCGCATTTTGAAGTCTCGTTGTTGTTGCAAAAATAATTGACTTTTATTTATTAAACCATTATCTGTAGAATTTCTTGGTCCTCCAGTTAAATCAATTACCTTTATAATTTATAAAATCAAATTACATTGATAAGAAAATTTAAAATTACATAAAGATAAATACAAACCTTTGAATTATCTTCTTGATCTTCGTTTATAAAACTATTGTTAGCCAATTGAGCTCGACTTTGAGCTCGTATCAACACGGTTTGTCGAATATGCTATAAGAATTTGTTTGCAATGATTAAAGTAGTAATATTCATCAATTAACAATAAATTAAACATTTATTTTATAGAAAATTTGATAATTTACTTGTTTTAGAATATCTGTACTAAGTTGTTGATGTGGTAATTCTTCAGGATGAACACTTAGCTGTTGACCAGGTATAGAGCTATTCAACATCGGATGTCCAAGAGGTAATGGTGCTGATTGTGTACGGCCTATTTGTCTGTGTCCAGCCTTAATAATTTTGCGATTTGCTACTTGAGTGTCTGTTATAGGTGCTGGATGAAAAGTTGGAATATCACTTTGCCTGGACTCAAGGCTTTGCATTTGTTTTTGAATTAAAGTTTGGGATGTATCTTGAACTACGAATAAAATATAAATTTAAATTAAACAATTAATAATACATATATATATATGAATCATTCATCATGATTTATAAATCATATTATGATATATATAAATATAAGCTATTCAATTTTATTAAAATGTAATGTGGTGATTTAAATTGTAATTACTTGGAAGAGTAGGATAAAACGGCAATGTACTAGTCAACATTTGATTAGTAAGAGGTACACCCCATTTCGTAGTAAAGGCTGCACGAACTTCAGCTTCCGAAAGAGATGTCAACTTTGAACCGTCCTATAGGAAAAAGTTTAGTATTATACGGAAACTGAATATAATTTAATAATGTGTATTTAATTTTTTAAAGATGTAACTAGTTTTATTAAACTGCAATTAAAATATTTCAATAATTATATTATAAAATTGTTAATAATATCTTATAAGAATAATTTATCAAAACATAAACGAAAATATTAATATTTAATTTTGTATATATCATAAGAATTAATAAGACAATACAACATTTTTTCTAATAAAACTATATATAACTATACTTTATAGAATAAGATATGTAGCAACTTAAACTTTCTATTACAATCACCAACTTCGCTAATGCTTGTTATTTCATTTATTTCTTTAAGAGCTATACTCATACAAGCCAATCATCATTATTACAGGTTTTTTCTGGGTGATTTTTGTTTAAGTCAGTGGTACTTAACCGGGGTGATATGTCACTCAAGGGTGACATAGACGCAGTGTAGGCATGACCGAAATCTCAAGTGGAAAAGAAAAAAAATAAGAAAATAATTAATTTTAATAAAATTATATTATTACCACAACTGTCATGTAAATAGCATACCTTTAAGTTTGTATCTTTATATTATTTATATTTATTATTTATCTCTGATAAACACGTGTAGTATTATTATTAGCGCGAAATCGATGCATTATAGATTATTTTATCGACTTAACCGGGGTCGTTAGTCGGTTATTTTGCTGTTGCTAGATATGTAGTATTATTATAGTATATTATAGCTCTACAACTCTAAAAGATAATATATGAGACTCGGTCTTTCCACTATCAGCCCTCGACTTCCTCAACTTTTTAAAAACCACCAAGTCTCAATTTCTCATTAGTTTTTATATAAATCATTAATATTTTTTTTTATTTTTTTTATTTTTTGATTTGCAAATTTAAACTTCAAAATGTCAATGTTTTTTGAAACTCAACAATAATAAACTCAATAAAGTGTAGGTGTACTTATAATTTTTTTGTGTAACGTATTTTTTTTATTTTTTTGTTTGTTATTTCAAAAATTATTCTAAAATACACAATTAAGATTATTTATTATTTTGATGTTAGGGCGAGAAGCGGTGTTTGATTCTAGTGGCTAAAGGTGACAAAAATGAAAAAAGTATTAGAACCACTGGTTTAGGTTATGGAAATAAGTTTGATGTTTTTAAATCTTGTTTAAAAAAATATATTTTTAATTCAGTTTAAGTATTTTATAATTTTTAAAATTATTAAATAATTTTAATCCTGAAAACTACTTAGAATCAAGAATAATTGTTATATTCTATAACTAAATATCTAAACTATAACGAAATCTCATACTCAAGAAAACAACAGTTATTGATAAATATTAAATTATGACACGTTTTCTACATAAGAGGCCAGTAACCCACATTCTTAAGTAGATAATATGCATGAAGAAGCGAAGGGCAAAACTTCGAGTGTTGACATCCGGTTAAATAATCTTTAATTTAATAAATACAATTTTAAAAGTCTTAAAAACGAGAATCAAGAAGGTATTGATAACTCTAAGTAATAAAAAGTATGCAAATTAAATAAGTATAGTAACAGGTACTAAGTACTAAATCCATAAAAATATTTAAATAATATTAAATATTCGATCTACCTATTCAAAATTTTTTTTTTTTACATTCGTTTTCATTCAAATGTACTGTTATAATATAACGCGAGAACTTAATAATAATAATAAGTACCTATAATTTAAGTAAACAATTTTTTTTTTTTTAAAAAAAAAAGAAAATTTTGAACAGATTTGTGACACATTAATTTAATCACTTACTTATAGGTGTATAATTAAATATATTCATAAGGAACTGTAGAAATAAAATCAAAGAAGTGAATACGAATAAACAACACAACTTACAAAACATAGCCAACCTATACGGCTATGGGGGAAAAAAAAATATCAAAAATATCAAATAATAACAAATCCATGGTAATAATAATATTAGTAGTATTCAGTTATCACTCAAATTAATAAAAATTAATTTACTATCGAAAATCTTAGAACGTGGTTTATGAAAACGTCATAACAACCTACTAACGACGCTCAGTGATCAGAAATGTAATTTAATTATCCAAAGTCAATATGTTTATGACATTTGATTTTACACACTAACATTAGGAAGAATTGAATAAATTATTCAATTGAAAAACCTCAAAATAAAATATATTGAAACATCAATAATTTAAGAAATAATTATTGATAAAATTATAAGAACAAATGTAATAAAGAATAAATATTCCAAATAGTATATTCAAGAGATAATTAATTTATGGTATTATTTAAATAATACGTTTATCGTCAAATTCATAAAATGAATTGTCACAAATTTAAATAATTCTAAACTGACTTCATATATTGTGAACATAAAATCAGAAAAATTAAATGTTATTTAAGAGATGGTATACATTAAATAATACATATTGCTACATTGCTTCTGTATATCAAACATGTGGCACAAAAAAATAATTACGTTTAAACGTTGTATTTGATCAAATGGTTGTACCTACCTTATATTTCACGTTATCTTTATCTAATCTGTAACTATTTTCAATATAAAATCTTTTTTTTATTTAAAATATATATCATTAATTAAAATATCAGTTTAAAATACGAAGCGCGAAAAAAGTAAATGTTCAACATTAAGAAAATATTTCTATTTAAATTTGATAATAGGTCAAACGGCAATTAAAGTTAATATTGTAAGTTCATTAGACGAAGTATACCATCAATCTCAAAACTAATGTTAACAACCTGTTTGTATATTTGAACATTTAATATTCATGTTAAATACTTCCAAAGTACTAAATTCAATTGACAAACTTATTAGTTAAATTATTTTTTTAAGTTCCTAAAGTATAAATATAATACAATTAGGAAACAATCTACTTCAAGTTATATTTATATTGACATCTGTAAAAATCTAACTGATTATCATTTTATTTTTATACAGCTGTTTATATTTCTGACAAACAAATCTAAGTTTCCGATTTTAAAAAAAAGGTTTATATATATATATATATATATATATATTACGGTTATTTGAAGCATTTTGTTTATCTAACATTTGTTTGATAAACGGACAATATATGAATCTGATGCGTCAAGTTTTAATATGTCTCATACTCATAAATATATATATATATACACAAGGGGAATTGTAGTCGAGTAGGATAAGGCAGTCTAATGCACTCTGCGGTTCGACCTTAGTCACTGGAGGTTACGCTTCCCGAACGGAAAGAAACCACTACCACTACCACCCCTCACTCATCGCTAACGTGTATATCACTACAAGAAAAAAAAAACAACTATCAACTGTACCACCGCATCAAAAATTATCAGAATCGAAAATTCAGAGCTGTCAAGAATTAATAAAAAATAAAATAAAATATGAGCCTGTGTAAGATTAATGTATTAATCAATATAGGTTTATTCATTTTTTTTATAACATACATGCTAAACGGTTATATTATCAATTCCCATTCATTAATACGTATTTAGATTTCAATACAATTACGCAATGATAAGAGTTGGCAACATATAACTGTAACAAATATTCAATATCAAAATAACTAATTAATTGAACACATAGAAATGATTTAGAAATAATAAAATACCACTACAACCACAATTACATATGTTTAGCAACATCACCAAATTTTAAAATAATATTATTATTGTTATTACATAGTTGATACACACAAAAAACCAAAATTCTAAATCACGAATATTTTCAAAATATGATATTATGCAAAGGTATTTGAATTAATTAACCCTCGTAAAAATTAAATTCAACTTATGACAACAATAATATTTATAGTTTAAACATATGTAAAATATTTTACATACATACTAAATACTGAGATAAATTTAAATGATTTCAGATAATTATGGACATTTCCAACAATTGTAGGCTATTGAACAATATATTTGTTAACGTATTGTACAGACACATCCAAAACTAAATATAACCATGTATTTGTAGACGAGAATATTCATATTTATATAAAAAAAACATCACACAGAATTTAAAAATTTAAATGTGTTTTTATATTTTATTTGTGTTATGATTGAAAAATTATTTTATTCCAAATTAAATGTAAAAAAATGTATACATTAGAATGTTATTTATTAATTGACAAAAAATATCATTGGTAATATAATAGAGAAAGTTTCATAAATAAAAAAATAAAAACTAAGAAAATAAAATAGAAACAAGGTTTGAAGAAACGAGTCTTACAAAACGCATCTCTTAAAACAAGTTTTTGGAAATTTAAATAGATAATATATATATATATATAAATACAAACACACATTTTGAATGTCCAATAATAATAAATAAAATATTTTATTTAATCTATGCCTATATTAGTTAGGACATTTTTTCGAATATCTAAAACCGTGTAAATACCTGAAGAGCACTTAATAGAAAAAAGTAATATTTCTAGTTTGTATTTACATAGCTTAAATAAAATACCCATTAATTTTAATTAAATCAATGGCTTCCCATAAAACATAAAAGAGTTTAGTACATTTCTACTGTTAAATAAATATTAAATATTTTATGAGAAAAGCAAGTGCATTTCAGACTTTAAAATGATTGAATCGATATGGGTATCTAATAGCTAATAAATAATAAATTTTAATCATATGATACATTTCAAAGAATATCGTTAACACTCACACCTAACTAATCTATTTTTATTTATCAGGCGTGCGTTAACTCATAAGATTTAGTATTTAAATTATTTTGTAAATATTACTTATAAAATAATTATTTAATAATATTTATCAGTAATTACCGAATTGGACGGTGGTCTACCCATCGAAATATTTGGCATGGAAGGACTTGTATACAATGCTGAGAGATCAGTGATACTACCACTTTGATCTGATTTCTTATTAGACATATGGCCAAATGTCATTTCTCCTCCCTAGAAAAAAAAAGGTAAATTTATTTGATTTGTAATAGAAAAATTATAAGTTGTATACTTCTTTGATCGGAGTAGTAGCCCCAGTTGAAGGTGAATTTCTACAATTTGGTATAATAATAGGGGGTGAATTAGGTCCAGAACCGGGAGTACTACTTGAAGGCGACGTCTCAACTGAAAAATAAAATTATGAATATGAAAATTATAATGGAATACATATTAAAATGTTAGTATGGAAAAAGGAAAAAATATTTTAATAGCAAAATGGTACGGTACTTGCAAGCGTAGACACTCTGCTGCCTTTTCCTTTGGGCCGTGCGATTGGATTGTTACGTTGTCTTTCGTACGTACGCAGGGGCAATCTGATTTTCAAATCCGGTTCAGACGCTGCATGCAATAATATTTTCAACACACACAAGGAACAAAAAACACACTTAGTTAGGAAAGTGGTCAATAGTTAGAAAAACAAACGTTAAGTTAAAAATTAGAGCAATTAAAAGACAAAACGCATATTTTTTATTGCTTATTACATATTTATGTTGTCGTCATTACGTTATTATAACACATTATTTATTCAATTAAAAATTATATACTTCAAAGTTAAAGTATGTTTCAACACATCAGATTTTCAACTTATAAGATATTAACACAATATTTTTTTAAATTATTTAAAAAATATCAAACATAAATAATATGATGTATAATTGTATTAACGATAACTTTTATTACTAATAATAAAATAATACTAATTTATGTAAGTGGATTATTTATTAGGTTAACTGTCCTTAACTTAGATGCAACAATATTGTCTGGGATAAAAAGAGAGAGAGAGAGAGAGAGAGAGAATGGAAAAACTTATCGATTCAATTTCTAGAATATTTATTTTACTTGAAATTCAAACAAAGGTTAGTTATTGTAGTTAATGTTTATAATTAATAAAGTATACTATAAATTATGTCGTAATAATTTTTTTTTTAAATTATTTTTAAAAGTACGAAAATTCGTTGTAACAGCATTAAACGATAAAAATGTATATGCGTATATTTACATAATTTAAAGTAGAAAGCCATGTATTTGACGAATACATTTACAAATATTTCTTAATTTTTGCAATTTTTAAGCGTGATTTATAAATTTTTATTGTTTATTTATATATTTGTTATAAATGTATAATGTTTTGTTGAAATTAAAAATTATAATTTTAATTATAGTTTTCGGTTTATATTAATTTTAATTTGGCTATGACGGAATATATATTTTGATGAGTTGAATTAAAATATGAATTAAAATAAGCAAGAATTGATTCATAAGCATTAGATGTTACATAATTACTAATGTTCTAATGGCTCATACATAAGGCAAAAATATAATGTTTTCACCTATGTTACGTCAAGAATAAATAATTTAATCAAAATGCAATCATTTATATTTTATTAAGCCGCGCTCAGACTAAGAAACAAAACGAGAACAATTGTTGTTCACAAAATGTGACAAAATGTTTACGATAAAGTAATCGGCAAATATTAAAAACATATGCGTCGAAACCAGACCTATAAACTTTTAGTCTTTGTGGTTTGAGGACCACAGTGCGATTGTTGCTGCTACTTGCGTGATTGTAAGTTTAAAATTAATAAAAGAAAAAAAAGATTTTAGGTTTGTTAGGTAAGTTTCTTATAACGAGGAAACAATATAGTGATAGTGATTCAAAGGTACTAGAAGTATATTATACACATAATAATATTTTTAAATCTTATATTTTTGGCAAAAATCAATTCAATTTTTTGTAGGTGTTACTTATTGCAAAATAAATTATTTTAATAGTAAATAAATATATCATATAATATATGCCGATAGACCATCTTTTTTTTTTTAATACGATTTCAAAGGGAAAATATTTTTTCTAAACAAAATAATAAAATTATGTCTATGTTCTGGACGTACCGATATATTGTCAATTACAATATGACGGTAAACATCTTTTGAAGCAAACCGCAAATCAGACGATAAAAAAATTTTGTTACCGACAATGTCATCGAAAATATTTTAAAAACATACACATAAGTAAGACAATGTCGAAAATATGTGTTTTTTTTGTTCTGGACGCGACTTATAAAAATAGAAAGTAAAAAAGGTTTGAAAAATGTTCCTGTTTTAAAAATACTAATCCATAATGATCATTACATTTAATTATCCATTTGCTTATTTCTAATCGTATCAATATTCCAATACGAGTGAAATGATGTATATCAAGGTTTAAATATATTTTAACAGTGAATTGTTAACGATAAGATATATTTATATTTATTATTTTCAGATTAAATTGTTAATTATTTAATAACAGTTATCAGGCATAGTTTACAATAAAACAGGTACTTGTGAGTCTAGTTTTCATCAGCTTTTTAACTTTTTTTTTTTAAATTAAAATTAAGAAAATATCAAAATTTAATGCAAAATGTTAAAAGTTTATATTTTATTTTATTTTGATTGTATGTATTTTAAAAGCTATTAAAAAAAAAAAAAAAAAAAAAAAAAAACAACTGAATTTTTTATAAATTAAATTAAGTTAATTTTTAATATAATAAGATATTTATCACGTCCTAAAACAAAAATTGAAAATTGTAGATTGCATGTAAGGAAAATGTTTGTTTTTATTTCATAAAAAAAAACTATTATTTTATAAGTATACAAATATATTAAATTACATTTTATGGGAAACGTAATATTATGATGATTCAATTATAATCAATAAAATTAAAATGTATTTATTTTATACGTATTTATTGTTTTGTCGGGATTTCGATGTAATTTACATTTTTTGATATAATTAAGTTATTTAAATAATTTTTCAATATATAAAAGAATAATCCACCTTAACTTTAACACAAGTTCTTAAGTCAAATTCAAAATATGTTTTTGGTTGTTCTCATTAAAAATCAGTCATAAATTTGTAATTCGCACACATTGGTAATTACAATATAAGATAATAAATATGATTATAAAATAATCGTTACATATTTATCAAATTTAAAATAAATAGTGCATTTTTATGACATAAACATCCGGACCTTCTAATAATTATATAGTGGGCATTTTTTATATAATATATAAAAATGTTAACAATATATTTTGTTATTGGATTCAGTATTTCAAAAATGTTAGACTACTAATAAACAAACATAAAATTGATAATATATCTATTTATTTTCATATCTATTAGAAATAATTAAGATCATGAAGAAGGTTAAAAAGCTATTTTTAAATTAAGAAAAATACCTGTTCTTCTAAGTTGGAAATCATCTTCGTAATGCCCAACAAGTCTGTAAGGTGTAATATTAGTTCCACTAGATGATGAACTTAAACTACCAGGCATAACATTTGGTGCCGACTGTTGAGTCTGTAAGACACCCCTATAAAATAGTATTAGAGTGTAAAAATTTGTTTATATATATATATATATATATATATATATTTATATATGTGTGTGTGTGTGTGTATATGTGTGACAAGTACTAACCAACTAGGATACGATTGCTGGGATTGAATAGAACTGCTGGATGCGGCTCCTCGATGTTTTTTACTGAGTAAAAACCCCTAAACATATTGACATGTATATGTATCAAGAGATTTATAATTAGATAATATAGAACTAATACTGATAACATTTCCTATATTTTCATTACATTACTAACACTATATAAAAATTTGTTAAACACTTACTGACCGTTTTATAATTTGGTTAATAAAGTCATAAATATTAATAATTTAAGTAATGTGAACATTAAAAATGTTAATAGCATTTAAGGATATCTAAATTTAAATTTAATTATTATTATTGACAACACGAATTTTATAATTTTGCCTATACTTGTATAACGTTAGTAATATAGCACTGATTTTCATACGTATTTTCATAAATTTTTAGTGTTGAAACTCTCACAATGGTTACAACCGAATATTACGATTAAAAATGTATTATTTCCTAATTATATAATGATTTAAAATCCAATTATGAAATTTGTAATGATTATATGAGAAAATAAATAATAATTCCGATATACTCAAATGTTAAAGTTTAAACGTTGTTTACTGATAAATAAAAAAAAATATTAAGATTTTCAATTTTTTCTCTTTGGTTCTATTAAATATGTGAAAATAAAATTATATTATAATGTGTAATATTAATTAAATTAATAAATAAATAATGTATTTAATGTATATTACCTGTAAGATTTGCTTTACTTCAGATGATGCAATAGCACTAGGTTGATGTTTTTCTTTTTTCTTAATAGTTTCCAATTTTTCCTCTTCCTTTTTTTCACGTTGTTCTTTTTCTTCAAGTTCCCGTTTTTTTTCCCAAAGGTCCTGTATAACACATGTCTATGTATTATTTAATGGATCATCATACAATAGAAACATATAACAAATATAACATATAACATATAACAAATCGTATACATTTTTATTTTTAATGTAGACGCGTCAAACAAATTTACAACGATCGTCAATATCATTAAGAAAGTGAAATTGTTCTATAAAGTATATAATATAGTGTTTGGTAAGTATTGAGCGGTATTCTTTACGTATTACATACAAGTAAAATGTTGATACAATTTTTAACGTTGTCGGTAATTGTTCTTAGCAAATTTATTATTGAAATTTGACAATTATCCAATTCATTTATGACCAACTTGAATTTATGTTATCTCAATAATAATGTAACTATAGTTTACTTTAAGATGTTGCCGAAGTTGCTGTTCATGTTGCACAGCTAGTTGTTGTTGTTGAGCTTGAAATTGTTCTAGTAAATACTGTTGTTGTAGTTGTTGCTGCTTTTTTAACTGAAATTATAAATCGAATCATTTTATAATTATTTGCATTATTAATGCAAATAGTTATAACAACCAAATAAAAAAATAACGGTAATTTTGTTTTTACTTATATTTTTTTCTCAAAAATAACGAAAAATTGGTACAATAAATTGTATTTTCCCACTTTCAAGTATAGATTAAATTTACAAAAATGCATAGATACCATATCTTTAACGAAGTTGTGACATGGTAATAGCTGGAGTAGTTTTGATGGTTTAGCGCCTAAAATAACACATTTAACCCCGTGTTGGTATAAAGATAGATACTTAACACTCAACCACCGAGTTCAAAATATTTTTACCACAAATTCACGGTAATGTATATTTTAATTGTAATATTTTGCATATCTTAAAAAATATATAGTGTCAACTAAATTAAATTTGACCATTTTAAATTTATTTTAGAACTGTTAAAATAATATAACTTATAAATGAGTTATTTGAGTTGAAATAATTAAATCGTCACGAATTCGAAGAATTATGATTACACAGTTGACACATGATTATGAATGATTTATTATAAATAAAATACTATAGATACATTAGAATAAGTTTTATCTTACATAAGTAATATAAAAGTAGACAAATAAATTTAAAAAAAAAATTAAAAAAATATTTACGTGTACGGTATATAATTTGAAATTATATAGGTAATATAATACGACTACTAATATAACTTTCATTTTAACCTAATTTAATGTTATTTAAAAATATAAAACCTAACTCCAATATTTGATGATGTATTGTATGTTCATGAACGTGATTAGTTGGTCGAACTAATTCTAAAGGTTTGTCTCGCAATGCTTCTTCTGTATTGTAACTACCCACCATTGATTCACGAGTCATTTCTAAAATTAAAAATTAAAAATAACTTAACTTGGTTTTTTTCTTTCTCGAGATAATTTTGAATTTTATATTTATTATATTATATTAAAATTATTAAACACTGATTTTTATGATGTTAATTTTTAAAAAAATTAACGCGTCTTCCGATGTCTACTGTCTGCAGTTGAATAAGCTATAGATTTAGTCTTAAGAAATGTATAGGCGCTTAGCGGTTTGGTTGAGGAGAGGGTACCTGGAACGAGTTTCCCAATATGCTGATTGGATGGATTTTAAATAACGTCGCGATTTATAAAAGTAAATTGTTACTAAATTATTATTATATTTTTCGACGATCGATAAACGTTTAATTTTCACGCAAAACTACAAGATTTTATTTGTTACTACTTATTGTAACAAGTAGTAACAAGTAGTAAACTGTTAAAAAAAAAACGCATTATTCAATCCGAACTGGGAAATTTTAAGTTACTATAATCAAAAGAAAATATTTTAAAATTTAAAAGTTATTGAACATTTAGAAAATGTAGATCGATCCATATGATATTATACTACATAATAGAAACATTTTTTTTACAATTAAAGAGGATTTAAAAATTATACATTAACTTAGATCAATAACACAGTAACAAAATACTTAAGTACCTTAAAAAGTATAATTTATAACTTATTTCACGTACAATAAGTTTTATGGTGAATAATATAATTCTAAAATTACAAATAATTATATTACAATGGAATCATTAAAAATGCATTTAAATTATATTATTAAATTTCTTTATTGCCTAATTTATATATTTTAATACTTTATACAACCTTTAATTTGAATATCATACAATTAACATGAGTGCATTTAAATTAAAATATTAGCACCATGTTAATATAAATGTATTAAACATTTGAATATTATTTATCAGCTAACACTATTTACTTCTCGTTGATCAAATTGTTAAGACTTTTACACACATTGCATATTTGTTTAAACGTTTTTTCAAATAAACTTATTTAAGATTTATTAAGCAAAACTATAATGATTTTAATAAAAAATATTTTCTTAAAAATAATTAAAATCAGAAAGATGATACACTATTTATGTGTTACTAGTTAGTATATTACGAGAACAATGAAATAATTATACTCGTTACCTTCCTACTCTATAATGATCAAATATATAATAAAAATAATCAAACATCAAATAAAAAATTATAGAACATATATCTAATTCTTTGACCTTTGCTTTCTGAAAAAATTATAATGAACAATTACTCATCAAAGAAAACAAAATAAATAATCAACCTATTTACAGATTAATAAATTTAAAAATATTGATAGTATTTAATATACTTTAACAGAAATATCAAATTCGTAAAATGTGAAAGCTAATTTTATTAAAATTATGTATATATGTCATAATGGACATTTCTTATGAACTAATATTTGAAGTATAAGTATATCTATATATGATTTACTTACGAATAATTAAATATAATGATACCTTTGATTTATAGTAATTGTCAATAGTAATTTTATAACAATAGAATTTTTTTTATAATAAATAAATAAAATTAATTTAAAATGTTTAATACGAAATTATTATCAATATCATCAATTAATTATAATAACAAACGTAAGATTTCAATATTCATTAAATTCTCAAGACCACGATTGATGGTAAAAAATATCGGTTTTTAATATTATTAAAAAAATTTTTTTTTTAAATCATGTTAATATTATATAATCAAATTATCATGTCGATGTATTTATATGACAAATTACGGTTTATCAAAATCACTAGTTAAGGAAGACAAAATCAAATGTTTTTTATACACTCATTGTCATTGATGTTTTAAAATCAATATACCTACCCTGGATTTTTTTCTGTAACAGCATGAATTTTCTTTTCATACGAGACACATAGTAGAACTTGGCCATCGCTTTTAAATGTTTCGTTCGGAAATTTAATAACTACTGAGAAATTTTGGACGAAATTTGTGAACTAACTTTGGTATTTTTTAAATTTGTGTAGGTACGTACGATTACGATTACAGCCAAACGCTAACTATAAAAACCCATCGCTATCCTCTGTTATCGATTATCAATCGTATATAAATGTATACTTATTATAATATCTATTATATCCATATTAAGGTTATAATATAACGACTATAATAATAAAGATAACTACTAAATATTTGCTCCACAATGAGCGTCACAAATAATAATTAATCGACAATATACCAATAAATAGCTGTTTCGTTCACTGCACGTGACTTGAAAACATTTGAATGATGAAATGATAAAATATGTTTAAAAATATTTACAAATTAGTGAAATATGTAAAAATATGTAATTATACCAAAATATGTAAAATAAAAGTAGCATCATTTTAATATGAATGATTTAAATTAATAATAAATTAATGAAATAAATAATTATTTTATAGATTTTTTAAATTTTACAAATTTTATATACAATAAGATAAGATAGGTATTTGAGAAATAAGTACTTTGTCCGACTCTGAAAAATTTATAGAATTTATAGAATATAAATATGTAAAATTATTCAAATATTATTGTATAATAATTATTTAATTCATAGTAAAATGTATTCATGTTAAATTTATTTATTTTATTTACATTAAGAATTAAATAGAACAATAAAATGGTTTTTTATATTTTTAAATTTGAATAACCTACAATTATTTGAAAGTAGAGTTTTGTAATTCGATAACGACCGCTCAAAATCGAAGGCAGTCACGAGTGCATACGTAAAAAATGCCAAGTCGTTACAACTAATATCTTCTGGAAGATCATCTAAATTTTCGGATGTTTTTTCACCAGATAGAATTATTGGTCTTATTAACGGTGAGTGACCACGATTTTTTCAAGTACTTAATTAGATTTATTTCGAACAGCTTTTCTATTTGGATTACATAGTGTTTAAAATGAATTTTGAATACCTTCGAGTAACCATTTTAATTCAATTCTATAATGATATATGTTGCTGTTGTAATTTTTTTAATAGCTGAGGTTAATTTGTTAAAGTTTGAATTAATATACGTTATTTTTTAATCATGATTTTTGATATAGTCTTGAGAGCACTTTTAATAAAAATTGCATAGTTTCTATCCAACATAAAAATAATACAATGTATTATTCCAAAATGCTTGCGATAATAAACTTTCGTGTTAATCCAAATTCCCCAATGTGTGAGAATTAGCTCTGAGAGTAAGGTTAGGTTTGGCGCTTCTGTTTTAAGTATAAGTAAGTAAACGACTAAGGGCTTTTCTTAAGATTTTTGTCTACGTTCGAAATAACTTTATCTCCTACTTGAAATTTACTTTTTACTTCTTCTGCGAGCATATGCAGTCTACGTACTATACATGTTACGTAAAACACTATGAATAACTTTTTAAAAATTTTTTTTATATCTGTTGTTGTGTCCGATTAAAAATGAATTTAATAAATTATTATTAATTTATTTTAAGTCTTCATTATGTTTGTCGCTTTTCATGTTGTGATACGTAAAACTTTTTGTCGAAATTCACTTTTTTTCATACATTGTGCAAAATAATACATTTGGATATAATTTGAAAAAATATTGGAACCAAATTCATTAACATAAGTATAAAGTCGATTTGATTTTAATTCGACGAATTAACTTTAAATATTTTTAAAATAATATAAAAACAAACGAGTTTAGCCGAATGGGTAAACCACTAGTTAACGATCAATGGTAGTATACGCAATATATCTATATGACAGCGGAAAACTAAAATAAAATCATTGCTTTAGGTAATTAAACTACATAATAAATTAAATCTATACATTTTAATAATAATTTATATAACTTTAAATGCAATCTATTATATGATTGAACGAAAATGCCTTCCTACGTAAATACGACAGGAAACATGATAATAATTATTGCAGTTGCTTGAACGGATTTTAAAAATAAACTATTACAGAAACAAACGGAATTGTCCAGTGTGACCGGCAATAACAACCGAATAATACGTAGGTACCATTAGAAAATTGAAATACATTTAGTTTTTCGATGGCATATTATTTATTATTATAATTAATAATTTACATTATAATATTTATAGTAGTATATAGTTTATATATATAAAATATTTGGGCCCTAGTTGCACCCATGATAACAAAAACCGACGTCTACATTAATATTATAGGTTAGCTTGTAAAAAATAACACTCATAACTTCTAATTAAACTCATTGATAAATCCCGTATCAATCGTGTCAGATTAAAACGAAGCCAATTTATTGGTATCCAAACAATTACATCTATGAATAAATATTCTAACCACGTTATAGAATAGACCGATTCATGGAACAGAAAGAACTGTTTTTACTTCTAATAATATATTTTATAATTTATTTTTTAGAACATTTCACTGCATCGCCATTATTATTAAATGTGACTATTTACATTCAATTTTTAAATAATGTATTAAAATAGTTTTAAAAAATTTGTAATTCATTTTTAAATTTCACCGCCACACAAAAATCCAATAATTCCAATTAAAATTACGTTATAGTGTAAAAGTTTCACCTATTAATAAACCCCAGAACATAATTAATAAATATGTATAAAAATAAATAATTATTTTATCAAACAAATCGATAATAATTAAATAAAAATAATTATATAGTACCTATTGCATTTGTAATATATTATTATTTAGTAAGTGATGACTCAATGAATAAAATCAGTGGACATACATTTTATTTGAACACAGAGCATTCAAAAGATACCCAACCCCAATTTATATCTTCTACCAATTGATAAAATTTTCGAACTTGGCCAGATTATACAGTAATTACAATTACTACTATGAAATCAATAAATATTTAAAGTGATTACTAAAATTGTAACAAAATATATGGAATTTTTGATTTTTATAGTTGATAAAATATATAATAAAATATTAAATCTTGTATTTATGATAATATGATAATATTTTTAAATCTAATACAATTGTAGTATTATCTCGTTATTGGCTTAGAATCATAATATATATTTCCTTATACAATGTCCATCACGTCATTTTTAAGTCAAATGGTTTAAATCGGAATAAGATTGTTTATTATCATTTCTGCACTTAAACACGCCGGGGGCTTCTTTATATAATGAAATGTATTAAAATAAGTGGTAGCGTAGTAGGCTGAAGTATATCATGTAAACATATCTAACGTTCAGTAGTTTGTTGACGAACAGGATACTGCGGTCCGCGAATTCGATTTGTAATTATTTTTATAAACAATTTAGAACAAACCTGTTTTTTGCGATAGTTGTGTGAATGCTGAACTGATTTCTATACTTCGAATGGACTTGATGTTGTCTAAAACAAAACAGAAATAAATTACTAATAATTTTTCTTTATTAATAGTTTATCGTATGAATATGGTAGGGAAGGGAGTACAATGTACAAAAATATAAAATAAGTATTAAAATCTCGCTTTTTGTAGTAAAATTAACTAAAATAAAATAGTAATAAATAAATAACGAATCAATTCAATAGCTACAACTAATTACAATACTATTTTGAATAACATAAATGATCCAAAAATATATTTTTAATGACTTTTTTAAAACTAAATGTAATCATTTTTTTAACTAGCTTAAATTAATTAAAACCGTTAACAATATATTTTCATAAAAAATATACTAAACACTAATAGTAGTCGAAATTATGAAAAACATTTTTTGTACACATTAATTGTGTGATGTCTATAGTAGGTCTATAATCTGAAGGAATATTGAACGAAAAAAAGGAGATTTACTTATTAGAACATTTATAAAACATAAATAAAAATACAAAATCCTTTAGATTAAGTATATAGGTATGATAAAACAAAATGTAATATATAAATAATTATAATTAGGTTTTAGATTCACACGAACGATTTTTAACTTTTTTTTTTTTTTATTAATGAAATCATATCGTTAAATAACTTAAGGACTATATATTGTATTTGACATTGACGTCGAGAGCTAGATACTACCAGAACAGTAAATATCTTTAAATAAGAATATTATAATTTAATAACCATAAAAGAAAAACTAGACTTCAGACTAGATTTAATGTGTAAACGCGATACACATCAATTATGATATTTTTCACAACATTTCTTTAAATAAAAAATAAAATTAGAGTAAAGAGATAAATTTATTTATAGTAATAGCATCTAACTGTGTAAAAAAATAAACACTAATTTTGATAATTGTTAAAAGCCATTTTACATTTGAACAGCGATCGGTAACCTCCGAGCTTTATCATAGTATAATTTATACAAACAACTAAAAAACGTGTTTATTTCAAAGTTTGCAAATAATTTTAGAAAGTATAAAAATCAATTTACAATTACTATGCTAAATTAAAAATCTATAAAAAAATATATTCTCAATTGAAACAGAGAAGACACATGAAAGATATTAAGTGTGACAACCATAAATAGTAACGAATATATATATATACACAACATATATTAATTGAATTATAGTGGAATGGAGGGCGTAACATTATAAAAGAGTATGAAAGGGAATATGTATACAGTATATTATTTTTTTTTCGTTTATTAAATTAAATTAAGGATGGCATTATAGTTTTTAAAAATGAATATACCTTTTCGTCAACACAATTTGCAAATATAAGAAGACCTGAATTGATCGATATATATACACACACACACACATATTAAATTATAAAAAAGACGAGATAACGATAAAAAGTTAACGAATTTTAATATCTTACATATAAATTACATATAAAATATTCGAATCAATTATAAAACAGTCACAAATATAGTGTTATCAACAAACACAAATATATATATTTCAATACAAATATTTCTCTAACTACTAGTCATTTATATATAAAAAAGACGCAAGAGCACACACACGTATTGATAACCTGAAATTAAACAAGAATATACTTTGCTATCAATAATGAAATACTGTTTGTATTCAATTATAAATACTATGTTTCAAAGTTCACTTTATCATGAATCATATAGTTTGAAATTCTGAACTGAATTTATAAGAGAACTAATAAATTATAAGTAATTTCAATAATGATTATTAAGTGCAGTACTCGAGATAATATTTGTTGATTAATAACTGCAAGAAGGGAATTATTTTAATTAAAATTGTAAATATTAATATTACAACAAATTAACTTTAACAAATTTTAATTGTGTAAGCTGATTATTATAATAACTAAATTACTCAACCAATTACGTATTACTTAAAAAAATAGGTAGGTTAAGGAAGTAATAATATTTTTACTTGTTATAAATAAACAATGTTTCCAATTTCTACTGTAGAAAATACTTAAGGGTTCAAAAGGTATGTTTACACTCGTGCGCTTTCCACTTCAATATTCAATTCAACTTGCGTTTCAATTCCGCTTTCATCTAACGCATATTTTTATTGAATGTAATAGACGCATATTTTTTTTCTGTTCACACTCACGGCGTCACAAAGCAGTAGTCTTCCAGGTTGTTAACAAAAAACTTGTCGGATTCACATGTACTTCTTGATGTTAGTGTGGCCTACTTAATTATTGCAAGTACAAATAAAAAATATAAGAAGAAGCGTTCTTTGTGGATCAGCAATTATTTAAAAACTCGAAATTTCGGAATTATAGATGAGTTGCAATAAGATATTTTATTTAAAAACTTTACACGAATGTCCAGAGAAAATTTTTACTCAATATTAAATATAATTAAACCAGAAATATTAAAATAAAACGCTCATTATAGAGAGGTTGTTCCGATTAAAATTAAGTTGTTAATATGATGTTTAGCTACCGGAGTGAAATTCAATATGAAAAGCATGTTGAACGGATTCCCACTGAGCGCGGAAAGCCTTGTGTTGTAACGTGCGTCAAGAAAATGTAGCTGTTCAACTCGAAAGGACATGCGCCATTGTAGATTTTTTTTGCTCTACTTGTGGTGCGCTATGACGCATACATCTAACGCACGAAAAAGCGCACGAGTGTAAGCATACCAAAGGATCATCGATAATAATTAACAAATTAAAAGACTTACACATTTTATAAAATATATTGAATATTTACAGTTTATAGAAAAAAATTCTCAGCAATAAAATAACGAATTAATATATATTTTTATGGAAAATATTAAAGGAATATAATAAAAATGTATTATTCACTTCAACCAAAATTTCAACGAGATGTACGATAGGTATGATATATAAAATAAAACAATTTAAAAACAAGAGTATAATATAAAAACATTTATAATATTATACATTTGTAATTTTTTATAATTTTAATAAATTTACTATAATATAGTAGGTATATTAAAATTTTCATATTTTGAATATACATTATATTATAATGTATATTCAAAATATGAAGGTTATAAAATGCTTTATATCGACAGTTGCAAATAAAATGTTTAATATTCTAGATGAGTTAATTATTAATTTTGTATAATTTATCGACACATTCATTTGCAGTTTAAAATATAGATAATATAATAAATTGTTAATGTCCTACTGAATAAAAAAACCATTTTTAAAGAATATTGGTTTAACATCTATTTACGACGATGACATTTCCACACCTCGTTAAGTGCTAAAAATTAAGGTCTAAACACTTTAAACACAAATGATAAAAAATTTAAAAATTAACTACAAAACATCTCAACTACATAATAGTTACAATTTTCTTTATGTTAAAATACTTTATAAATTATATAAATTAATTTATCGTGTGATAATAGATTTTAGAAATGGAAATTTAAACTTAATCACAAATTACGAGGAAAAAACAAAAAAAAATAATAGTTCATAATATTCTTATGTATTTCATCACTTTAATTTTAAAAAGGTTATATATATTTAATAATTAGTATACACTATTAGCTGTTTAAATCTTATAGATTGATTCTTGATAAAATTACGCAATGAGATAAAATTATATAATGCAGTGTTGTTGAATTACATGGTAATTCAAGAGCTAAAAAAAAATATGTATAATATATTAAAAAATTAGTTTTACTTTCTATGAATTAATTTATTATTTTTAATTTTACTTCCGTAAACTTTGAATAATAAATCATTTTAAATAAATAATAGTTTTTAATATTTTAAATAAGAATATTAAAAAACAATGATTTACTATAAACACTCAAATAGACTAAAAAGTTGAAAATAATTAAGTTTAAAATACGAGTATATCGGGTAAATAGCTATAATTCATAATATTCGAGTATATGGATAATTAGTTAATTGTTTTCATGGAATATCCAATCTATAAATATGTATTTACTTATCGTAATTATTAAGAATATTTATTTATGTAATAAACGATGAAATTGTTGAAATAAAGATGTATTACTTACATTAATAAAAACATTTTAAGTAACTTAAACCTAAATTTTACAAATATAATAATACTGCAATTAAGGCGGTTCCCCTGAAGCAGGGGCGGTCAACTTTTAAAGAATTGTGATCAACTTCTGAGTTTTTCTAGGTTGTCACGATCGACCACAAAAAAAAAAAGGTTGTAACTGAGAGAAAATATATCTGCACATATAAATGTATACATGCACGTTAAACTTTATTTATTCTATTTAAAATATCAATAAGTAATACTAACTTTAATTTTACAATTTTACATAACATGGATTTTATTATATATTTTATCAATTTATACGAAACAATAAACACCGTTATTTACTATGGAGTATACATTAAATTACGTACAATATACCTATATATATATGCTTATATTATAGTTATTCGATCTCTATGTATAATTTCGTTGTTCATAGTTATGTATTACTATAGGTACATTATTACTCTGATTATTACCATATATATATATTCTTTATTAATTGTTATTATTTTAATTTTTATAATTGTGGGTTGAATAAAGATATAAAAATATACAATGAGTTAATTATTATTTAATTTTTTCTGAAAGAATTCAAAAAAAAATTGAAAGGAAGTCCCGATAAACTCGAATTCATATCACAATAGACTTGTTGGCCACCGCTGCTCTGGACTGTTGTTACGCGGTTCGACAGACAATTGAATGGTGGGCGGGAATAACGTGCTATGTAGCAATTTGTAAATTTTACAGGAACGACTAAAACCAAAAAATGTATTGTAAATTTATTTAAATGTTATCTGGAATGCACGTAGCACGTTCTTATATATTAGACTATTTTTTTTATAACTTGACCGTTATTTTATTATTTTGTGAACTATGTTAATTTATGAATTAAACTTAAGCAAAATTATTTCAAATGTATGTTGCACAATCGTGATATCCGCACGTCGCGCGGCGTGTCAACTTACTGTTAACAG